GTTCATCTTACAAGGTCCTTTGGATTTATGCCCCTGTCTGCTTGTTTGCCTCAGTTCTTGCTCCTTTTCCTTCTGTCTTTGTGCCCCAGATACAGTGAGTTATTTAATTGCTTGAGGTTCTTTGATTATGTCATCTCTGTTCTTGACTTGGAGGCTTTGTCTATGTTGCTTCCTTGGGTGGAGAGCCTTTTTCTCTAACCTGCCTCGTTAATTTCCACAGGTCTTAGTTTCTGCATCGTCTGCTTTCTAAAGTCTGCCCTGACCCTTCTGGTCACATACAGGTTTTCTCCCTCTTTATTTCCTCATGGCTTACCTCATATTTGCAATAGCCATGTTGGGTTGAAGTTATTTCTTGTCCCCTAATTATACATAAACTCAATGAAGAAAAAGACTATGTCTTTTCACTGAGGTACTGCTGTGCAATGTGCTTGCTAGATGTTGGATTTGTTATGGTCTGAGTGGGTCCTCAAAAATTTAATTTAATCCCCAGTGCAATAGCATAAGATGTGGGGCCTTTAGCAGATGATTAGGTCATGAAGGTTCCTCCCCTGTAAGTAGAATTAAGGCCTTTATGAAAGAGACTTCACACCAAGTTTGGCCCTTTTTGCCCTTCCTTCTTTTCTGCCATGTGAGGACACCGTGTTCATCCCCTCCGGAGGATGCAGCAACAAGGTGTTTTCTTGGAAGCGGAGAGACCAGGTCCTCATCAAATACTAAAACCACTGATGCCTTGATCGTGGACCTCCCAGCCTCCAGAACTGTCAGAAATAAATTCCTGCTGTTTATAAAGTACCTAGGGGCTGGGAGCAGAGGCTCACACCTCAATCCCAGAACTTTGGGAAGATGAGGCAGGCAGATCACCTGCGGTCAGAAGTTGGAGACCAGCCTAGCATGGCAAAACACTGTCCCTACTAAAAGTACAAAAATTGGCCGGACATGGTTGCATGCGCCTGTAATCCTAGCTACTCAGGAGGCTGAGGCAGGAGAATTGCTTGAACCCAGGAGGTGGAGGTTGCAGTGAGCTGAGATCATGCCACCGCACTCCAGCCTGGCAAGACTCCATCTCAAAAAAAAAAAAAAAATTACCTAGCCTGTGGCATTTTGTTAAAGTAACACAAATGAAATAAGAGAGACAACAATTAGGAAAAAGCATGAGAATTGTAGATTGTTTAGGTTTCTCTCTGCCACCCTACATGACTGAAGCAATAGATGGTGACTGGGAGTGCATTCTGCCCCTAGTGAAGTTCAAGGGGAAGAAGAACAAATGAAATTGAGGGTGTCTTATGCTTTAAGCCTTCTGAAGAAAGACTCTATTGTTCTTCTTGATGATAGATTGATACTCTTGAGATAGCCAGGGTAGGGTGTAGACCTAGGAAAAATGGTGTTGTAGGAATCTGCACTGCACTGACTGAACACAAGGAGAGCTTGGAACTCAGCTGACTAGTGAAAGAGACCAGGTGGAAACCTGGGCTTAATCTTGAAACTGCTATTAAGAGTTATACTTCTGTGTAGAACACCTTCTTTTCATATACCTCTCATATACTTTTAATATACTGAGGGCAGGCTGGGCGCGGTGGCTCAAGCCTGTAATCCCAGCACTTTGGGAGGTCAAGGCGGGTGGATCACGAGGTCAAGAGATCGAGACCATCCTGGTCAACATGGTGAAACCCCGTCTCTACTGAAAATACAAAAAATTAGCTGGGCATGGTGGCGCGTGCCTGTAATCCCA